TTATTCTTTACTGGGGACGGTGGTTTCAAACCAACGTAGAATTCATTGCGAGCATGTAAAAACTAGGAGACTTCACACGGATATACAGATTTCAGATTTCACTTGAAAATTCAGTAGTTCTCGCAACAATGGACTTTCCTTTAAACTGTACGAACAAATTCTCACCCTCCATTTCTGAGTTGCCCTTTCTCCATTAATGTAAGTAAACTCACTGGCCCCTAAGGTTCCTATGTGTTCTTTCCATTGTTGTTGCCAACAATCTTGTAGTTATGGTTAACTGTCGGCAAGTCAGTTCCAATTCATAGCAACCCTGTCTAGGGTTTCCAAGGAGCAGCCGGTGGGTTTGAACTGCTGACCTTGAGGTTCAAACCGACCTTGTGGTCCAGTGCTTATCCTCCAGCACCACACCAGGACTGCAATAGAGATGGTGCTATGCCCTAGTGTGGTGCTGTGGGTTAATGCGCTGGACTGCAAAGTTGGTTTGAACCACAAGGTCGGCCGTTCAAGCTTACCAGGTGCTCCTCGGAAACCCTATGCAGGGTCACTATAGGTTGTACTGACTCAGTGGCACTTAACAACAATGCTCAAGGTATTCCTTACTGATTGAACTATTGTTTGGAGTCCTGGTGTGGCGCTGTAGGATAAGCACTGGACTGCAAGGTTGGTTTGAATTACAGGGTCGGTTTGAACTGTGAGGTCAGCAGTTCAAACCCACGAGATGCTCCTTGGAAACCCTATACAGGGTTGCTAGAGGCTGGAACCAACTCCATGGCACTTAACGACAATTGTTTGGTTTAAAGAAGGATTCAGGGGTGTTTCTGGTTTAAGGATTAAGGTATTTTTGGTGTTCTCTGAGGGCAAGGAGACCTGGTGGCACTGTAGGAGAAGCACAGGACTGCTAAATCTCAAAGTTCGCAGTTCAAACCCACTAGCTGCTCCATGGGAGAATGATGAAGCTGTCTATTTACTTAAAAGATTTATCCCCTCAGAAACCCTATAAAGGTTCACTGTGAGTCAAAATTGGCTTGATGGAAGTGGGTTTTTGAGTTTTTATCTGAAGGCAGTGATTTGAAGGGTTTATCCTGCCTCCATTGATCCAGAAAGTCTGGATTCCATGAGAATGTGAAATTCTGTTTGGTATTCACCCCTCCCTCCTTTTGATCAGGATGCTTGTTGGCCAAGTCATAACCTCTCTGGACTACACTGGACTCTTCTTGTTAAGTGCCATCGGGTTGGTTCCGACTCACAGCAACCCTATATAGGGTTTCCAACAAGCACCTGGTGGGCTTGAACCTCTAACCTTGTGGTTAGCAGTCCAGTGCTTATCCTACAATGCCACACCAGAACATTTGAATCTTAGCTGGAGGGAATGGCAAACTCAGTATCGGTGGGAAAGCTCATACATACATGGTAACATTTAACCTACTGTAAATTGCTGGCTTAGCCATTTTACCATAAACTGGTATGTGAGGGCTGATGGACTCTCACGCCCTTTCCCTGCCCCATGAGGTGGGCTCAGTCCGACACTTCCAGAGGTACCGATAGCTTTCTGAAGGGCTGAACAGCTAGCTGTCTGGAAAGTGGAGGACTCAGCGTTCAAGCCCAGACAGTCTGAGAACCAAGCATGGGGTCTCGACCACTGTACTGCCCTGCCTTTGAACTCAAACATGCAGGACTCCCTGTTCATTCCGTTCCCTCAGACATGCTGGTACCCTGAAAATCATCATGTATGCATAGGGTCGGGAATGGGGGCAGTTCAAGGAGCCATCTTAAGATCAAGACCAGAATGCATTCTGCATCTGTGCCTGCCTGACCTCTTGGTGGGGACACTGGAGCTAAATGACCTTGGGGACCAGAACGTGTTTGAAGCTCTCTAAGCTTGAATCTAGTAGGGAACATATGTCATTATTGTACCAACCTTCAAACAGAATCAGAAATCCAAGTGGCAAATTAGATAGCACAGCATCCTAATGTTTTCCAACCACGCTTCAGAAGAGCTGAAGTCCCTTACAAAGAATTGTCATCCAGTGCCGAGTGTCCCTCCATCCCTGGTTTTCTCTCTCTTCTTCCACATTTCATGACTTGGACCAGCTTCCCTAGCTCCAGAAATTGACCCAGACATCCACTGTTGGCCACGGAAAAAGCTCCAAGTTATTTTTATTGGCAGGAGTTTTGTTTTTCTTGGGACCTTGACTCCTTGCCTTTTGAAAATCAACTTTCCCGAGGTCTGATTTTCACAATCAAGCCTACACATCTATCAGTGAAGGACCTTTAACATTATCTATATGTAACAATATCTCCAGAAAGTTACCTCTCTGGCTTGTCCTTGCAAGCTAGAAAAATAAATCATGCTTCTTGTGCCAGATGACATGCTCTGGAACACCTTCAAAGTAGGAATATGGTTTGGGGGTGGGGTAGGGATGCCAAGGGCTTTGATTCAAGACCCTAGGACTCTTGGTTCAGTTCTGAAATCTTGGAGTCTTCCTATTCATTTTGAGTCCATGGGTGGTATACATGGTTAATGTGCTTAGCTGCTAACACAGAGGTTGGTGCTTTTAATTTTAAGCCCACTCAGGTGCATTGGGAGAAAGGTCCTGGCAGATGAAGCAATCTGCTCCCATAAAGATTTAGGTCTGGGAATCCTAAAGGAGCTGTTCTCCTCTGACATACGTGGGCTCACTGTGAGTGGTTTGGGTGTGGTTTAAGAATTTTTGTGGTGCTGCAAGATGAAGCACCGCTTGGTTGGTTTGAATCACAAGGTCAGGGGTTCAAGCTCACTAACTGCTCCTTGGAAACCCTATATGCACAGGATTGCTGTGAGTTGGATCCGACTTGACTCGACTGCGCTTAACACCACCACTCTTATCTGAGAGAGTGATTCTCTGTTTTCTTTTTGCTCCTCAAATACGCCAAGCTCACCCACCCCTGCTGTGTTTGCTCTAATGCTTTTCCATCAGGCCTTGCATAACTGGCCCCTTGTCATTCAGGGTTTTACCTTGGTCATTTGAGTATTACTTCCTCCCAGAAGCCCTCCCTGACCACCCAGACTTAGCTGCTTCCCTCACCCACGAAATAATTTTATTTGCTCCATTTCACATCACATTCAACGGAGTCATTGACTTTGGATTTTTTCGTCTCCTTCCGCTACAGTTTACAATAAGTAGTGCAGGGCTATCACCTAAGCTCCACTGTGCTGTCATAGTTGACTCTGACTCCAAGGGACTCTGTACGACAGAGTAAAACTGTGTCCCTTAGGGTTTCCAAGGCTGCAAATCTTTACAGAAGTAGACAACTCATCTTGATGCAGGAGAGCAACTGGTGAGTTTTGAACCATCAAACTTTCAGTTAGCAGCTCACGACTTAGCCCACTATGCTACCAGAGCTCATTGTTGTTGTTGTTAAGTGCTGTCAAGTTGGTTCTGACTCATACCAACACTGTATAAGGTTCCCTAGGAGTGGCTGGTGGGTTTGAACCACAGACCTTGCTTGCTGTTCAAGCTGAGTTTGCGGTCCAGTGCATTGTCATGCAGCACCTTTGTTGAGTAATTTATGTCTAAACAAGCAAATGATGTTGTATTGGTGAGGCCATATTTGGTGGGATTGCCCCTCGGTTTACATCTCATTTGGTAAGTTACTTTGGCATTCTCTGCGCACTTCCTGATTTGTAAAAACCTAACCTGGGGACTCAGCTGTGGTCCACAGTCTATGGATTGACATTGGGAAAGGAGTTATGAGATATGAACAGGATGGTAAGTGGAACAGGTGTGTAGCATAGTCAGTACCCTGGGGTCCTGAAGTTGCCCACCTGCCCCAGATATTAGGAAGGGAAGCCAGGAGGGGACAGCGGGTGGTTTACATCAGACCCTCAGCTGCAGCAAACTTGTTACAAAGGTACAAGACAGTGAGCCTGAACTCTCAACCAAGTCCCTGTACTGCTGTTTCCACTGCTGTGTGACCTTGAGCAGGTTCATTCACCTGTCAGAGCCTTCCTTTACTCCTTGTGATTTGCAAAGAGCTCAAACCCTCAGAAGGCATTTCTATGCTTGCTTCTTGAGTGAAGGTCATTTAAAGTGATGAACATAGTGCCCAGCTCATGGGGTCTTCAGTGCGTGTTGCCATGGTTGGGATGTGTGGGTTCTAGTGTTAGGGACAGGCAGAGGGAGGGGAGCTCATCTAAGGGGCTTCTCCCCATGCAGATGTGCTGTGGGCACATGACCTGTATTTGTTATTTAATCCTCTCAACAACTCTATGGTGTAGATGATACTGGCAATACAGGGCTGTTATAAGATGCATGTGGACCGTGCTGTGTGAAGTCACATGTAATCTTTACTTGTAGTGAACGGGTTATTGTTGTTGTTAAGTGCCGTCAAGTCAGTTCTGACTCATAGCCACCCTGTATAGGGTTTCTGAGACTGTAAATATTTGTGTGAGTAGAAGGCCTCATCTTTCTCCTGAGGAGCAGCTGGTGGACTTGAACCATCTATCTTGTGGTTCACAGTCCAGTGCTTACCATACAGAGCTACCACATTCTCCCTAGCAGTGGTTACACTTTTTAATGTCTTTTTCTCCACCCACCCCTAGCTAGTGTGACAGCTCCATGGTTTAAGGGAACTTGTATATTGTTCACAAGCACAACTCTAGGGTGCGTGTTGTTGTTGTTGTTGTTGTTAGACACCGTCTATTCTGACTCATAGTGAACTCATGTCTGTAGATTTTGGGAAGCAGGCCTTGCTGTCCAGGTGCTTTTGGGTGGGTTTGAACCACCACCCTACTGGCTAATTGTCCAGTGCTTAACCATTTGTGTCACCCAGGGACTAAGGCTTTCAGTGACTGTTTTTTTTTAAAGTAGATTGCCAGGCATTTCTTCCACTGCACCTCTGAGTGGGCTCAAACCTCCAACCTTCTGGTTCACACCCCCCGAGTGCATTAACCATGTGCACCACCCAGGGACCCCAGGGTTCACAGTAGGTGCCGCTGACTGTGATTTTTCTTCTTTCAGGGCCCTTGCAGATGTCATGCGGCCCCAGGGCCACTGCAACCCTGACCTCATGGAAAGAGACCTTAATATTGTTGTCCACGTCCAACATTATGACAACATGGATGCGAGGACCCCCGTAAATAACCTGCGTAAGTAGAGCCGTGAAACCCGTTTTCAGTTCTGCATGGTGGCCCCTGTCACGGCCACTCCTCCAGATTGTGTGGCGTGTGATTGGATTTCTCGAGAGCTTCTCCCTTGTTGATTGGTGAGACGTCTTGTTTCAGTTCTACTAGACGAAGCTGAGTTTGGTATCATCATATTTCTCCCTGGTTGGTTTCTCTATGAACTAGTGGTTCATTTGATTGGGTTCTTCTTTGGGATACTAAATAGACCATTGGGTTGTTTTCTTCTGGTTTATTAGTCTATTAACAAGTGACCTTCTTGGTTGTTTCAGCTGGTTGTATACTTTGCTAATCATTGCATCACTTGGTAGGTTCTTCTGTCAACCAGGGATCCATTTTGCTAGCTCATCTTGACTGAGTCATCTATTAACCATTGGCTCCTTTGCCTGTCTGCCTTCTGAGGTAGACCAGATACATCATTTAGGTCTTTTACTGCTGTAGGATCCAAGTGACAGAAGAATGAGATGACATTTTCATAAAACTGGACTTTCTTAAAAATTATCTACGCATTTTCTTTTTCTGTGTGTGTGTGGGTACGTAGGGTATTGAGTTGTGGTCATGTTGATTTGGGAATATATGTGTGTGAGCCAACAGTAGTACATTTGGGGCCATGATTCTGCGAGGCGAAAAGCAAAATTGTTTTTGTGATTGCATTTAATTCTTCTTCAGCATACTGGGGGATCTTGGTCTGCTCCCCCCAATTTTTCTTTCCTTTCAAAGGTCTGCATACAGAACTCATATGTTATGGAGCGCTGACTCATTGGCTAATGGGAATGGAGGAAAAAACAAGACTGTTTAGTTTTTGACAATAGTGTACTACTGTGGTTATTCCTAGCAATTATGTTTTCAAGTAACCCCCACATTAAAGTAATGTGGGGGGTTTGGTTTAAAATAACAAAAGCCAGACAATGCAAAGGATGCGTTTAGTTGTGGCTGGAGGCTCTTAGAAACTGAAAACAGTTCTGGCACTGTACATTTTACTGTCTGGGTCGCTTCTGCTGAAACCCCACTAAGAGATGCATTGGGGTTTATTTGCTGAATCATAGTTTTGGGGTGTTTGATTGCAGAGTTTTATGCTCAAAGGGTAGGGGAATACATTCATAGCGTTTGACACGGTTGGGGTGAGTTTTCTGATTCTGCGTGCTGGTGGATTCTTCTTGGGCTATGGAGGTGGTTGCAGTGTGTTAGCAAAGCCAATGTTTACGTGGCTTGAAAAATGGGCCACCAAATAGAATGTCTTCGGCTTCATTACATTCAATAATGTGACATTATTTATTTATGAACTGGATCATAAAGTGATATGAGAAATGGCCACCTTTTAGAGCAAAATACACCAGAAATATGGGAAGTTTTATGATCAAATCCCACAGCCCTGAAAGAGGTGGTAAATTGTACCAATGCTGACAGAGCAATTGGTATATTCAATTCTGGTTTTGATGGAAATGAACCTATTTTCTTTCAGACCCTTTCGCACTGGGAAATAAGTTAAATTTGGAGGTGAGTTTCAAACGTGAGTAAATGAATGTGATCATGAGGTAAAAAAAAAAGCCCAAGTGGTATTGAGTCCTTGTCTGTAAATGGGCATGATTTGAAGTTTCCATCTTGAGGATGCTTTTGAATCCACACTCAAATGGAAGAACGAACTCATTGGAGTAACTTAAGTTTCATCATCCCATGAGGCAAAAGGGTGCTGAGTGCTAATGAATCTTACTTAAATAAGGGATTTGTGTTTCACCTTGTTCTGAGAAAAAGAGACTGCCCAGAGACGGCTGTTGAGACACTGAGTAATTTAGATGTCTTTTGTGATGGGTTTACGGCTTTATTTATGATTCTGGCTTTTAGTCTCTATTTATGCCTCAGCAATCGGTGATATTTTTACTCCAAGAAAAGTGTATTGTGGGAGCTTAGTGGGTAGGTTTAAACTACAGGAATGAATGTCAAAAAAAGCGACGGGAGAATACTGGATATGATGCTATGAATATGGCAGGATTTTACAAGAATCTCAGCAAGTCCCTATTTCACATCATGTGCCCAGGTTGACCCAATTCTCTGCTAGAATTCTTGGGAATTTCTGAAAAATAAAGCTTAATGATTCCATGGCACATAACCACCACCCAGCACCACCATATTTGTAGAAGTGTGTAGCCTTTTATAGATTTATATTCATATGTTTAATTGACTAAGCAAAGTTATACTAACATTAATAATTTTTGTGTGTGTGTGTGCGTGTGTGTGTATGTGTGTAGTGGCATCTTTATCCTTTATAAAGTTGTAGGAGCTCTTTACATAGTATTATTGTTAAGTGCCAATGAGTTGGTTCCGACTCATAGCGACCCTGTATAGAGTGTGGTTCAAACTGACTTTGCAGTCCAGTGCTTGTCCTATAGCACCACACCAGACTCCTTAAATATTATAGACACAGACAAACATTTGTGTGTTCAGAAGGATGAATGGTTTGGGGATTCATTGACAGAATCGCATTAAATGACTGTTTTTATCAGTTTGAGGACTAAGGTGCACCTGACCCAAGCCATGGTATTTTCAGTTGCCTCATATGCATAAGAAAGTTGAACAGTGAATAAGGAAAACTGCCAAAGAATAGATGCATTTGAATTATGGTGTTGGCAAAAATGTTGAAAGTACCATGGACTGCCAGAAGAACAAACAAATCTGTGCTGGAAGAAATACAGCCAGGTTGCGCCTTAGAAGAAGCTAGAATGGCAAGGCTTCATTGCTCGTATTTTGGAGATGTTATCAGGAGGGACCAGTCCCTGGAGAAGAACATCATGCTTGGTAAAATGGAGGGTCAGCGAAGCAGAGAAAGTCCCTCCAACGAGATGGATTCACACAGAGGCAGCAACAGTGGGCTCAAACTTAATAATTGTGAGGATGGCTCAAGACTGGGCCGTGTTTTGTTCTATTGTGCATTGGGTTACTATGAGTCTAAACTTGAGTCAACAGCACCCAGTAACAACAGCAAGGGGTTTAAGAAGCCAGTCAGACCGGAGTTCAGTCTAATTATTGGAAAGTTAGACCTTGGAGTCAGAATGAGAGTATACCTATTGAATATGAAACCTTTTTCTAGGCATTATAGGAGCTACAAAGATGTGTCATTACTGAAAATAAAATAAAATAAAATAAAATGGACAAGAAAGATGCATCTATTTGTTATATACCAACAACGGGACCATCACTCACCCCACTTTCAAGAGGTTAGTTCACTAAATATCCAAGTTGCCAGATTTGACTGGAAATTCAGTAGCCCCAGCTTTAATGTCATTTTCATATCTGTTCAAGGACACAGACACACTTCCATTATTTTAAAAAAGAAGAAGAGTCACCATCTATTCCTCCCTCGTCTCCTTCTGCCTAGTAACACTAGGTCGCTGTCTGATCTTCGTGCTAAGCTTTGGTGAAATGGTACAAGATTCTCAGCCAGCACTGTGGACACTTGCTGAAGTGGACAAGAAGGGCCTGCATGAGGTAGACAGGGAGGAGAGAAGAGCCGTGTGGGCACATTACTTTGATCATTTTCCTGTGGTTGATTTTCCCCACGACAGGATGTGACAGTTTTTGTTTGTTTGTTTTTTAAGATGAATTTAGTTGCTGTTCTTCGTGTTCTTTCCAGTCATTCAGTGATATTGCCTAAAAATATTTAGTCTAATAATCTAAAGGACCTCGACCTCTTTGATGAACATAGTGATTTTCTATAAAAGCCCCTCCTCTGGCTTCTGTGTAATTACAGCTTGCTTTTGAAGACACTTTGTCTCCCCAGCCTCCCTTACCCCTTTAAGGACTACAGAGTAAATGTCGGTTCCCTTTGATATTGCTGGGTGCGTGGAGCTGGTTCCAAGTCACAGCAACCTCATATGATAGAGGTGAATGGCCCATAGACATTTCTTGGCTATAATCTTGACAAAAAGCAGATCTCCAGGTATTTTCTCCTGCAGAGCCTCTGGGCGGGATTGAACACCCCACCTTTCAGACAGCAACCAGGTACTTAAGCACTACACCAATAGGATTCCTTTATGTTTCCTAGAGGATCTCTGGTGATGCAGTGGGTTAGGCATTGCATGGCTAACAATAAGGTCAGTGGTTCAAACCCATCAGCTGCTCCATAGAAGAAAGATGAGGCTATCAGTTCCCATTAAGATTTACAGCCTCAGAAACTCTAAAGCTTCACCGTCTGGGCAGCCCCATGTAGGGTTTATCTGAGCTGGAATTGACTCGATGGCAGTGACTTAGTTTTTTTTGTTGTTTGTTTGTTTATTCTTCCTAAAAGATGTGAAATGTGTGTTATGATTGCGGCTGTTCTCCGGAACAATGTTCTCGACAAACCTTTTTTTTTCTTTTTTTCAAGTTAAAACTTTCGTTTTGGGGTCGTGTTATATTTTTGGAAAAGTAGCAAAGATTGGACTTAGTATTATTATATTGCCCTCACCTGCCTTTCCCCAGCCTTACCGTCTTACGTTCTTTGTTGAAACGAAGGAACCATCATTATTATTAATTATTAAAGTCTCTCTTTTTAGACACTCCAGGCCTTGTGTGAATTTCACTACTTATTCATTTTTCTTTTACTTAATTTTTGTTGTTTTTTGGGAAATAGACAAGCACTGATTCAACAATTTCTACTTGGACATTTCAGTGACGTTGGTAACACCAGATTTCTTAACTCTTGTCCCTTTTCTGTTCCAGGGTCCCATCCAGGGTATATCATATCCTCAGCACAGCACACGTGTGAGAGTTGAATTTTGCTTGTGATGTGTTGTGTTTCCACCATGAGTTACCCTCTGTCGTATTGACTCCAACTTGTCGCAGCCCCACATCACACAGTAGGGTTTTAAATGGTTGCTTTTTTTGCGGGGGGGGGGATGTTTAAGGAGATTGCCACATTTTTCTTCCAAGGTTCCTCTTCATGGTCTTAAACCTCCAAGCTTTCAGTTAGCAACTGAGCACATTAATGGTTT